CCAGGTTGGAAAGCTGGGCATGCGATTTGTTTCCTTTACTGATTGGGGATGGGGTACAAGGTGCTGGGGCCGAGTTCAGTGGGATTTTCAAAATCCCATCGACTTTGATCCCACTGCCTGGCCACTTGCAGGGTCTCTATGAGAATTTCCTGAATATGAAGCTGAGGGACTCCAGTTTTGGCTCGGTGTGCCTAGCCCTGGAATGGCTGTGTTTCTCTGACATGCTGAGTAGGGCTGTGCTGCACAGGCAGAGCTTCCAGCTGATGCGCTACCTGCCCTTCCTGCCCGTGGCATTCCACCTGCTCTTTGCAGCCACCAGCATCCCCCGGCTCTCTTACCCCAGCAGCCATCATGAGGTGAGTACTAGGAATATGCAGTGCTGGTGGTGCTTCATTCCTCCTGGGGACGTGGCTGAGCCATTTCTTCTCTCCCATCCTTCTCTGTAGGCCCTAGCCAAGCTGAATCACATGCAGAACCTCATGGTGTCCATGGTGTCAGGGATCACACCCAGCGCCCGCAGCCGTGCTGGGCAGCAGTCTCTTGTTCTGGAGGTGCTCTGCCTGCTGCTGGATATCATCGCACCCAAGCTGCGGCCGGTGAGTGTTCCCCTGTGTTCTCTGTGAGTGGCTCCCAGCCTAGGATGTGCCCCTGTTCTGTGCAGCCAGGCAGGGCTGCTATATGCAATACTAAATCCCATATTAGGGGTTAGCATGAAATTGCAGAATTGGAGGGGAGGTGGCACTGGGACCCCCACACATGGGGTTAGGGGCTCGGTGTGAGTGAGGACTTTGGGGCCCCATGTTGGGTGCAGTCCTGTGCCTTTGCCCCATTGTACCTGTACCTCTGTGCGCGTCCCCCATGGGCTGCTGGAGGAGAATCCCCTGCTCTGCACCCTATTAAGTGTCCCAAATAGGAAGCAAAACTTCTCCCTGCTCTGATCTCTGTGGGTGTATAGGGAGCTAAACTTTCCTTCTTCCTACTGTGATCCTTGTGGGTATTCGTTGTCTGCTCTCATTCACTGAGACAAGAAGCTGCTGTGGGTTATCTTAATGCTGGGACACTGCTCAGGATGAGCTGTGCTCTCACCCCCTTGCTCCCCCAGGTGAACACACAGCTCTACAGCCTGAAGGAGAAGCAGCAGCTGGCAGCACTCATCAGCACTATGCTAGCCTATAACCTCACCTACCACCAGGAGCGCCTGCCTGAGGGCCAGTATGTCTACAAGCTCGACCCGTGAGTCCCAAGGGTTGGAAGAGGGTGTTTGGATTGAAAATAACCTTCATAGAGGATTTTGGGGCTGGTTTTTTTTGTTTTTTTTTTTTTAAAAGGAAAAGCCCTGTGCCCCCTGGGTTGGCTCAGAGCTGCTTCTGATGTGGTGTCTCCCCTGGGTCATTGGCAGGCTGGCGTCAAGGCAGGGCTGTGCTGCTGTTAATCAAGTTGGGAGAAAGGAGGCAGCTGTCCTTGGCTCTCAGCAGGGTGGTTGTAAGCTGGCAGTGGAGGGCCTGAGGCTGACAGCAAGAAACCCGGGGTGTCACAGGCCGGGAGCACCTGTGTGCTCAGTTAGCAAGGATGGGGTAGGCAGGGTGCTGTGGGTGCTGGCCCTGCTCCTGCAGGCTGCTGGGTGTTCACAGGGTGGGAGTTGAGTGGGGATGAAAATACAACTAGAAGCCTTGGGTTTATTTGCTGACTTTGTGTGTTCATAGCGTGACAGTGCCCTGCTCAACTCCTTGCTGTGCTGGACCCACAGAGCTGTACACGCTCCTGGGTTTTTGGTGACATAGCACAGACCTGACCGGAGCTGGGAGCAATGCTAATGTCTTCCTGCTACAAAGTTAATTACAAAATTAGCCTCTGTTAAATCAAGCAGCTGTATCTAATTAGAGAACAGTGAGGTTTTTTTTTTTCCCCCACAGAAATGCCCACAGGACTGCTGGGGTGGGGGCATGGCCTCCTTGTGCTGCCCACCTTGCACTGCTCAGCCCACCCCATGCTGTGTTGAGCAGAGCTGTTCTAGCAGCAACACCTCTTGTTTGCTCTGAGTTGTCACAAGTGCAAAGCCATCCGATGGCACGCTCAGCTCAGCGGAGTCTGCAGCTCATGGGAAGGGTTTCACTGCTGCTGGAGCCTGAGCTGCAGTGCTGTGACTTTGGCTTTCCCGTGGCAATCTGCTCAGCACAGAGCACTGTGTGATTTCCTGTTCCTGCACTAAAACCAAGCTGAAAAGCACATAATCTCCTCGGGATTGTCATTGAGCTGTGGGGCAGCACAGCTCTGCATGTCCTATGCTATTTGCTGGGTGTCTTTGCACATTGATGTTAACTGTGCTGACCTGGAGAGGGCAGCAATGGGGAAACTGAGTCATCTCCCCCACGCTGGGGTGGGGAGAGGACAGGGCTGGAAGTCAGATCTTGCTGTGTTTAAACCCCTCTGCAAAGGGATGGGGCAGCAAGTCCCACTGAGCTCAATCTGCCCTGTTGATTTGTGCGTTTGTGCCCAGTGTTGGTTCTTTGTTCACGAGGGACTGATGTTCTCCCCCTCCTCCCTGCAGGAACGTGGAGGATGTGTGCAGGTTCCCTGACCTGCCAGCCCGCAAGCAGCTCACCTACCAGGCCAAGCAGCTCATTGCCCATGAGATTGAGATGGAGAAGATGCGGAGGACTGAGGCAGTGCTGCAGGCGCGGAACCTCAGCGAGGTGGGGAGGGGAAGGGAGGGGGCTGCTGGGGGGTACAGCGCCTGCAGGTCCTGGCCTGGGGTGCAGGTGGGCAGTGGGATCATAAATAGGATTGTTAAGGTTGGAAAAGTCCTCCAAGATCATCGAGTCCAGCCATGAATCAAGTCCTTAGGGCTGTTGAGGGAATCCTCAAAAGCAGCAGAGACCTCAAAAGGAGTCTGGGGGTGGGCACAGCGGGAAGGTGTGTGGGGTTACGCAGTGCCTCTGCCCATGGATGGCAGCAGAGGTACAGCTGCAGGCTTTGTGCTCTGCACATGGAAATCCAGGATTAACCCCCCTGTCCCTCCCCCTCACCCCACATCTGCCGGGGGCTTGCAGGGCAGTACAGCAGCTAACCCAGAAACAGGACAAAAAGACCATTCTCTCAGAGTTAAATCTCAGAAACCCTCCCCTTTCTCAATCAGTGATGAGGAGGGAATTTCACTTTCCCTGCCTGTGCACATCTTCCCTGGCTTGCCTGGGCTCTGAGCACCTGATGGGGCTGTGGGCATTCCTGTTCAGTGCAGGCAATGTGACCAGGTGATATTTAGAGGTTCTTTCCAACTCGGCCCACGTAGCTCTGCCTGTCCTGCCTGGTGCCAGGGGATAATTGGTCCCTGGGAGACCCTTGTATGATTCTATGGTTCTTGTAGTTTCTTTGGGAACACCCGTGGCACAGAACCCTCTCTGGGGATTTCTTGTTTACATGGTGCCAACGTGCAGTCCCCATGCAGGATGCCCCAGGTGCTGCCTTGTGCTCATCTGGAGCTGAACCTGAAGACAGATCCTTCCCATGTCCTTGAGGTACTGCAAACCAGATAGGTGGCAAATTATAGACTCATAGTAAGCTTTTTATCCATAGCACACACAAAAAAGCACTTATCTGTAACACACACACACACACACACACACACTACTGAGGGCTTTTCCCTTTCCTGGGTACCTCCAGAGGCTGTGCTCAGAGCTCTTCTCCCTGCAGGAGCCAGCAGAAATGGGGGATGTGGAGATGGGGGCCGGAGGACCAGCAGCACCCCACAACCATCAGCAGCGCCTGGAGCACATCGTGAGGAGGGCAGCAGTGCAGGACAAGGTGAGGGGCTGTGACACCCCCAGGACACTCCTGCCCCATCTCCTTCCCTACCAACTTGTGCTGTGCCATTGTTCTTCCTCTCCGTTGCTGCTGTTTTGGTTCTTTTTTTCTTTTCTGTTTCTGTTAATAGAAGTGTTATAAAATAGCTGACAGTTGGGCACTCCTTGCAGAGAGAACTTAATTAGTGTTAGTGAGGGTGGAGTGGCCTTTACCTACCAGCAGCTCTGCAGCTGCCCTATGCCTGGAGATACTGGTGTCCTGCAGGGAGCTGTGGGCAGGTGGTGCAACCTATGTCTGCAAAGTCGAGAGGAGTTTGGGTGCCTTCAGTGCAGTCCAAAGCACCCAAATCCTTTGGGGTTGCAGATTGCCCTGCTGCAGCCAAGCCCTGTGCCACTGCCCCATGTCCTGGGCTGAACCTGGGGCTCTGCCCATCAGCAAAGCAAACATCGCAGTTTGTCTTTTCCTCCAGGTTTTTGAATGTTGTTTGCATTTTACCAAGGCCTTCCTGCAGGATTTGCATGCGGGTCCTGCCCCATGGCTTCCTCCCATCATGGGATTTTGGATGGATCAATGAGCAGCCTGCTGTGGGCAAGGAGAAGCTCCTGCAGCTGCGCTCTGCCTCACTCACTTCTCTTTGCCTATTTCTCTGTGTGCTTTGCACCCAGGCTCTATAGGGCAACCCTGACTGCTGCTGCTTCTGTTTTTTACAGCCTGAGACTGACTTCTTTGGGCGGCCAATCCCACGGCAGCAATCAGCTCCAGTCCCAGGTAGGTGGCAGAGGGATGGGGTGGTCCCTTGTACCACCCCCTACGCTGGGGTGGGGGAGCCCCACCTTGCACGAGGGGCTGTGTGGAGGGGGTGGGTGCAGCAGCATGAAGGTGCAATGGGAAAGGGCTTTGTCTCTGTGTCACCCTGCCCTGCAGAAGCTCAGCCCTCAGAGTGTGATGCCATCGAGAGCCAAATGGGCAAAGCGGTGGGGCGCAGTGATGTGTGGTTCCGCTTCAACGAGGGGGTGTCCAACGCTGTGCGGAGGAACCTCTACATCAGGGACCTGCTGTAGCAGTCAGGGTGACAGAGGGAATGGATGAGTTGACTTCTCACATGGGGTGAGGGATGGTGCTGATGTGTTTGGTTTTTTTTATATGTGTTGTTTAAATAATAAAGTATAAAACTTAATAAAATACGTCAATACGTCACGTTTATTTCATTTATAAACCCTTTGTTGGCAGATTGTGCCTGCTGTGCTGCAAAAAGCTTAGAGCCTACAGTATACAAAAAGAGCAGTGAAAAGCACTGAGAACGTTGTATAAAAGTTTTCTCCCTTTATGAGTACAGCACTTGCTCATGGGTGCAGAAGGGGTAGGACAAGAGGCAGCCCTCCCTGCCCCAGGGAATGTTTGCTATTGCCATCTCCCATGCATCCACCCCATGTATGCCTCCCCAGCTGCCCCTATAAAACCAAACACTTCTACTACTAAAATAATAAGACGAGATGAGGGTTGAGTGTTTCAGTTAGTCATATTAGGAAGCTAGCTAATAAAAAAGTGTACATTCAGTGTTAATGCACAGCACCTGCTCTCAGAGGATGCTGCATTTCCCTTTCTCCACCCAGGGGTTGTTCTTCATCAGCTCTGGGTTCAGGAAGGGGTCTTCAGGAATGCCATCCTCTATCCACTTCACAAACCTGCAGGGAGAGCACGGTGGTCACAGAGCCTTCCTTGGCCACCCCCCCCTTCCCTCCATGGCTTTGTGGCGGTGCTCAGCCCAGTATCCACATACTCTGCCCATCTCAGCCCCCATCACACCACCGCTCCCTGCCCTGTGCCCACTCACTCAGGTATCGTTTTGGAGGACATCTCCCGCTTGTAGGCCAGCTGGTACTTCAGGCTCTCCACCTCCTTCTTCCACTGGGGCAGGTCCCACTCATCCATGGCGCTGGGGCTCGGTCGGGGCTGGAAGGCAGAGCGTCCCCATGTTCCCCATCCCACCCACGGCCCCAAGAGCTTTTGGGAAGAGTTTGGTGCCTTGGCTGGAGGTGAGGGCTGTGCTTACCGTGGTGGCACAGGGACAAGTGCCTTGTGTGACATGGAGCCTGAGAGCTCACACTAACCCTGCCCTGAGAACTGCGCTGGATTTGCCTGCAATTTGAGTGCAAATAACAAACAGGCTGTCCAGGTGGGGGACATTGTTCTCATGCCATGGCCCTGAGTGAGGGCCAGGATGGATTTTGGCCACGCATGGCCCCACTGATGGCTCAGTTCCCCCCACCAGTGGAGCTCTATACATGTATGGCGGGGGTGCCTTGCAGCCCCCAGGCTGATAGATGGGGCCGCAATGGGATTCCCAAGTCTCAGCCTCACTCCTGGTGGCACCAAGCATCACTCAGAGACAACGGCCCTATGGATGTGGGGAGGGCTGGTGGGGTATGGGTAGCACTGAACGTCCTGCTGCACTGCATGGAGAGACTGACCCACAGCGGGGTGGGATAGGGATACTGAGGCACAGCATGAGCTGTGAGCACTGCCACGACTCCAGCTCCCTTCACCACCGCAGGGATGCATGGCACAAGAGGACGGCTCCTCCTGCCCATCCCCAACTATGACCCCAGCAACGCCGGGGCTGTGCCCTCTCCGGTAGCCCACAGTGAAGACCAAACCGGGGCCGACCCTCCGTCCATCCCTCATCCACCCCCATCCCAGCTCAGCCCCGCGCAGGGCACAGCTCAGCAGCTCCGTGTCTCCGCAGAGCATCCCTGGGAGAAACACTCGGCACAGCCGGGAGGAGGAGGATGAACCCAGTGCCCAGCAGCATCCCTGCTCTCCGGCCTTCCCACAGCTCTCCGGGATCACAACCGTCCCCATCCCCGCTCCATCCATCCCAGTGCCACGGCTCAGCCCTCCACTTACCTCGGCTGGAAGAGGTGGCAGAGGGCGCGGGGCTGCGTCTGTCCCCGCGGCTCAGCAAGCCGGGCTGGCCTCGCCTCCTGCTAGCTCTGCCCTCGCTGCTGTCAGCAAGCCCAAATCCTCTGTGTAATCTATTAATGCACGGCCGGTCCAGCTGCCTCCGACACGGCAAGAGCCGGATAATGAGAGCGTCCTCCCCCCTCCGCAGCTCCCGGGGGATTTGGCTCCGCTGGAACGTGAGCACCGCGGGGATGGAGAGGCAGCGTGTTGGTACCGGGGCTGCGGAGGCCGTATTGCCGAAATGGGGCTGTTAGGGGCGGGTGGGTCTCTTGGGGACGCGTGGAGAAAAGTGCTGGGACACAGCGGCACAGCAGGAGGGCTGCTCCTGTCTGCATCCCCACCAACAGCCCTTCCTGCATCCCTGCAATCACATCCCTGCCCAGATCTGATGTGTGCCCCTGTCACATCCCTGCCTGCATCCGAGCTCATGTCCCTCCACTGTTCCTGTCCAAGCTTTCCAAGGTGCCACCAGAAGGACCCCTCCTCCCCCTCCAGCCCCTCACCGTGGCTTTACCCCCGTGCTGCTCCTGGTTTCCTTGTTTTTCCTGCTCTCCTGGTGCTGGCAGGGAGCTGCAGGTGTTCACGGGG